CAGTTTAGGTTTGCACTGGTAATGATCCAAAACTGTCCATTTTGATTTTGTGATACCCTAGTGAAGATGCATGATTTACGGATTTATGTTTTATAGCTATGCTTGAAAGTAGTCCATTTCCTTGTCATAGAAGATTGATTGCTTAAATATCGATATTTTATATATTAGGCAATGAGAATAACTAATGTCACTAATTCACCAATAAAAAAGTTGGATTTTTTTTCGTAGTTTGTCTGCAATAATCTTGCATCCTCTTTGTAAACTTTGGGCCATATGTTTGAAGTCCATATATTTATATATATATGTTTTTTTTTCTCATTGATTTTTTGTAAGATTCATTTCTTTTTATATTTAACTTTGATTAAGGAATTTACTCGCCATTTCATAGTTCAAGGGATTTTGATTTATTTATAATTAAAGGAATTTGTTTAATCTCATTTCTTTGCCCGTTATTTTTTTCTCCTCACATTAATCTTTAAAATATTTAATTATTTTCAATTTGCATCAACAACAAATGTCCATCTGAAATTGTACCAAAACTTTCATGTCTGTGTCACTTCTCTCGAATTTATGGTGTAATAGAAAAAAATATAATATTTTAAGTATCAATGTGTCAAAAAATATAGTAATACTTAAAAGGTTCATGTGAGAATTTACTAATTTTAATTCTATGGTTGTCCCTAAGTTTGAGTCAAATAAGATATCACATGTCACAAACTGATATCACATGATATTGGCATGACATTTTTCTATCTAATTTGAGATAAACATTAGTTATTGGTCTAAATTAAAAAGAATTACATACCTTGAGAACTAAAAGTTAAAAAAAAATAGTAATAATAAAAATTAAAAATCAAAGTGAAGATAATTTAGGAGCGAGAAAATGAAATTGACATTTGGTTAAACGATGCGTGCACACATACGTGAATGGCCTATCTTTCTGCTTAAAGTAAACTTTCCTTTGATTGTTTTTGATGCCCATAATTAGACCTACCCAAATATTAGCACATTAACCAGTTTAGGTTTGTACTGATAATGATCCAAAACTGTCCATTTTGATTTTATGATACCCAGCGAAGATACATGATTTACGGGTTTATGTTTTATAGGTACACTTGAAAATAGTCCATTCCCTTGTCCTAGAAGATTGATTGGTTAATATAAATATTTTATATATTTGGCAATGAGAATAACTAATGTCACTAATTCACCAATGAAAAAGTTGGATTTTTTTTTCGCAGTTTGTCTGCAATAATCTTGTGTCTTTTTTGTCATAACAAGACATATTAATAAAATATAAATTTTAATGGTTCGAGTTAAAATTGAATTAAAATGATATAAAAAAAACAATCTAATTTTTTTCCCCCTCATTTTGGTCTTCGTCCCACATTGATTTCTTATTAATTTCTTGTACCTTTTATATGTAGACCTTTGTTGTTGAATAAGGGCCAAGAATGTGGGGGAGAGTATGTAAACTTTGGGTCATGTCTGAAGTCCATATATATATATATATTCTTTTTTTTTCTCATTGATTTTTTGTAAGATTCATTTCTTATTATATTTAAATATGATTAAGGAATTAACTAGCCGTTTCATAATTCAAGGGATTTTGATTGATTTATAATTCAAGGAATTTGTTTGATCAAATCCTTGATTCATTTCTTTTCCCCTTATTTTTTTCCCCTCACATTAATCTTTAAAATATGTAATTATTTTCAATTTGCTTCAACTACAAATGTCCATCTAAAATTGTTCCAAAACTTTGATGTCTGTGTGACGTCTATCGAACTTATGGCGTAATAGAAAAAAAATATAATATTTTAAGTATCAATGTGACAAAAAATATAGTAATACTTAAAAGGTTAATGTGAGAAACTATTACTTTTAATTGTATGGTTGTCCTTAAGTTTTAGTGGAATAAGATATCCCATGTCACAAACTGATATTGTAACGCCCTCAAAAAAAAATACATAAAACCCATCATTTTAGACATGCATTGATATAAAAGAAACCAACAATTTCTATTCATCAGAGTAATTCTTACAACTGTATTACATGTTAACAACAAAAGCAAATGCCTTAAGGGCTTACAGCTTTCCAAGTTAACACTTGGTTACAAAAAAAAAGAGTACTAACTCAATACATATTAAGCCCTTGCTGGCTTGAATTTACATGTAATACATCAAAATACACAAAAAAGAGTTTTCAACTCTCATCATCATCCAAGCTATATCCTTGGAGGTGGCATACTACCTGTACCTGAAAATAATGTACCATAAAGGGTGAGCCAACGCCCAGTAGAGATATGCTAAACACAGTATGAGCAATAACTAAGACATTAGCAATTGATAAACGTTCACTTTCCATAAACCAATTCATAACCACTATGTTCATGTTTCATTCCGATTTCCATTTCTTATCCATTTCACAATTTACATCAACGGCTCAGAACCTGGCCAACCACTTATATGACAATGACTCATATTAAACATTTCCCATTTTACAATAGATAAACATGATAGCTGTATCAACATCTCAACAGATAAGCATACAAGCTGTATCCACACTTTAACAGATATGTATATTAGCTATATCAACACTTCCAAAGATAAGCATATGAGCTATATCAACATATTATCTGACAAGCATATGAGCTGTATCAGTGGAGTCCATCCCCTATCTCCTCCCAAACAACATCCGGTTTAGAGGTCCATCCCCTATCTTCCCCTAAACGTGGAGTACATCCCCTATCTCCTTCTACACACACAACGTATATTTACAAGAGGTCACATACACAATCAATCAATACATAACGTTAATGTATTCTATCAACCGTCATACTCTATGACATATCTAATTGATTAGTTTTAGTTTGCCTAATCATCATGCATTGTCTACAACAATCAAAACTACCCTCCACCGATAGCCCAAGCAATTATTTCTAAATAGATAATAAAAGCTCTAACAGATAAAATATCAATGTTTCAAAAGTGAGCAATTTATAAATCCAACTCCATCATTTCATAACATAATGAGCCAATTTCATAATTTCCAACTCAATTCCATAAGTCCACAATTTTCCCCAAATTAATTATACCAATTAATTTATTCAACAAATTAGGATTTTCTACCCCATTTCTCAATATTGACCCAATGGCCTATATATCAACAACCAACAACAACATCATTATTTTGAAACCCAAAATACATGTTTAAGAATCAAAATATCAAACCCTCGTTTATACCCTTTTGAAACCCTAAGTCCCAAAATCAATCAACTTCAACACTTTATCAAAACTACCAATAATCTATGTCGAAGATCATAATAGTGAGTAGGAATCCCTACCTCAAATTCGGAGCTCAAGGGAAGAAGATGACGAAACTCAACGTGCTCCAAAACTCGAAATTTTCGGATCAAGGTAGAGCCCTCGACGATCAACCCAACTTTTGTGAAGACCAAAGGTGAGGAAAACACCCTAGCTAGATCAATACTTAGAGAGAAGTTATGGTTTTAGAGAGAGGAGCTCTCAAATGGCTTTTTGGAAAAGTAAGAGGAGAGAGAGAGAATGAAAAAAGTGATTTTAAAATGCCTAACTGCCAATTGATATACGACATTCCCGCTCGAGCGGAGAACACAACGCTCGAGCGTCAAGAACAAAAATTTGGACACGCTTGAGCGCAAGAAGGCCCGCTCGAGCTGCCAAGACACAAGAATAAAGTACATCCGCTCGAGCGCGAAAACCAACCCGCTCGAGCGTAGATTTCCCCCTCCCAGAACTTATACCCAGAAAGTGCTACCCGCTCGAGCGCCAACAAACCCGCTCGAGCGCTACCGCTCGAGCGTAAAGAAACCCACTCGAGCGTAAAAATCACACCTGCAGAAGTTTTGCAGGGACACGAATACTGGGGTGTGCAATCCCCGCTCGAGCGCAAGAAGACCCGCTCGAGCGGACTGCCTAAAAACTGGGCAACAAGGAATTGAAACCAAGGCCTAACCAACCTGTAACAACCCTGCCCAAAACATCCTAAAACTCAATCAAGCGGAATTAAAGGACGACAACAAGATAGATACAACTACCAAACTTCACGGAACCGAGTCCGGAATGCAACAGAACAGTAAAGGACAACCGGGATCGCTAGAGATATCACATGATATTGGCATGACATGTAACGCCCTCATAATAACAACATTAAACCCATCAATAAGATATGCATTGATATGTAAAAGTTCCATATATCTCTCTCA